CCCTTCCCAGACTGATGGGCAGGAACAATTGCTTCTCTAAGATCACTGCTGATGTCTTTACTCTTTGACATTATGTTAACACAGACCTCAATGCTCAAGACCAGCAAACTCCTAAAACTTCGGCTTTTATAGAGGTAGTCATGCTTACTGATGATCAAAGGCATTTGATTAGCAGCACCTGGCTGCTACTTAGCCTCTTCATACCTATGGAAGCAGTAAAGGTGTATTTGGTTTTTCACACATGGCATCTCTGTTTTGGCTTTCTTTTTGTAAAATAAATGACGACATGGTGTAATATGTCGTGTTGTTGTTCATCTGAGGTTGTATTTACCTACTTTTGAGAACTGCTAAGGACGAGATGATTTTTATTATGTCCTGATATGTAAAATGATAGAACTCAAAGAGGGTGTACTTTCTTTTTCACATGACTGAATCCTTTGGTGGAATAAGCAGCTCCTGTAAAAAGCAGTATCAGTTTCCTTTAAAAAAACTTAAAATGCAGTTAACATTTGTCTGTATTTGAGAATCCACATTACACCATCAAAGCACCACACCAAGCCTTCTATAATCAAAACAAGCTTAATTGACTATTTCTGGTATTAGTAAGTTAGGGAATTATCAAGATGATAATGCTGCATGAAGTTCTAGGGTGCCTGTCTGAAAACAGCACCATCTTGACTAAAAGAGTTAAGGGAATCTAGTCCTGCATGATTAGTGGATTTTGTAACTGGCTGGATGGGATTCTGAGGTGGAATTATGCACCAAATGGGTAAACTCTGGTTCTCATGAACTATTTGTGTCTCATTCCATCAAAGCATTCTAGTCGTGTGTGACTGAAAAATGTGGTTGTTTTGGCTGAGTGGAAAATTGGTGTCCCAGTTCAAAAACAATTCCCATACAAGTTTCCTATTCCTATACAAGTGGCAAGTTTGGTTGGTTTGGCTGGCTGGGAAGTTGGCATTCAAGAGAGTTCTATCTTGTTTCAGATGATTTAGATAATATAAAAGTATAATGTTGAAAGATTATTTGTAAGTACTGTTCTCATTTATATTTAATGTATCCCACTGTTTCTGTTTTATTTTAAAGTGTCCGCTTTGGCCTTTCCTTCTGTTCTAGGTTCTATACCCAGTCCTTTTCATATTTACAGAATAGCAAACCTTTGAAAGTACTTTTGAATATTATGAGGGCCTGTGTTTTGGTATTTGCAGTAATGCTTATTGCTCTTTCTCTGTATCTTGTTCTGAACACCAGATTTTTGAGCATTATGCAAATACCTGCACGTGATTGGTTGTGCATCTTTTTAAAACAACAAAATGTCAGAATTTCAAATACCTAATTGCTTCACCTCTGCCTATTTTTAAAAAATATTTTGCTTTTACTATATGCAGTGTTTACGGTGAAGATTGGGGGATTTCTCTAAAATGTTCTCTATAGAAACCTGTGTTTCTATTCGACAGCACTGATTCTGCACAAAGTAATCAGTAACTCTGTTAAGATTCTATCCAAGCCACTGCTCTTCAGATGATTTCTTTACAATTTTGTCTGCTTTACTGATTAAGCTTTCATTGTCTTATAATGAAACAATGACAATTTTTTCAGTGTTAGAAAATAAGATTACACCATATTATGTTTCTGAATTTCCTACTGTATCTTTTAAAAATGTAAAATGTTCAAACTTAGTATGTATTCGGGGGAGAAAAGAAGGGAGAAAGAGGCTAATGCAGTTGCATGAAATATATGGAAGAATGAATATATATTATGATCTGACCAGTGATGTGGATTGAATCAGAGAGTGTCTTTGCAATAATTTATATTTATTAATTTTATTTATATGCTGCTCTTCCTCCCAAGGGAAGAGTTTAAGGAATAAATGTTAAATGCTACGTTGCGGGGATTTTGGATTGTACAGAGATGGACTCAGCTTGTTGGTTTTCTACACCTGCAACTACTTCAGATGTAAGTCAGCGTAACAACTTTGTCATTGCAGCCATTCAGTTCAATGAGCAACCACACTGTTTTACTTCAAAGGGCTACTTGAAGTATATACCCTGCTTTTTTCACAGACTGAATAGTTGAGATAACACATGGTACTTGACATGAGATAGTATCCAATAAATGCTTGCTGACATTCACTCCAAAATGTGTGCATTTTTATCATTGCCTGGTGATGATACTACATTAAGGTAAACTGGCCAAACTTATGGAGACTCAACCCAAACAGAATTCTGATGGTATGCAAAATCAGTGATTACTCCCAGTTTTTGACAGTCACTGTATGCAATCCCATACATCTAAGGTAAAACATGATTATCAGGTTGAGAGAGTTCACCAGGGACTGCTAATTGGGGTGGGGAGGGGAAGAGAAACAGTGAACAGTCAGAGCATATATGAGATAAATAACTGAAACCAGGCTAGAGATGTTTTAGTACCGTATATACTTGTGGATAAGCCAAGAATTTTGGGTGCCAAAATGCACTTAAAAAATCGGATTCAGCTCATCCACAGATGGGCTTATCCACGAGTATATATGGTAATACTTTTTAAAATATTTAAAATATTTTTTAATATTTCCCATACGTACTTGCATATAAGCCCATCCACAGATAGGCAGACCCTCAAATTTTTAACCAAACTGCCATGTAAAATGTTGGACAGCTTATCTGCAGGTGGGTTTATCCGCGAGTATATATGGTAGCGAATGATTCCATTCCATCTTATCCCATCCCTTCCAGCAAAATGAAACAATCTTTATCTGTAACCAAGCATACACCCAAAAGGAGAATATAGATTCTTATAATCATGAGTTATAATCACAGTTAATTCCAGAAAGTGAGTTTGCTTACAAGGCAGCAGATCAGAAAATATTGATTTCATAAATACCATTGATCAATATTAATGTTTTTGTAATTTTGATTTATACTCTATATAATATATTAGATTACCAAGAACAAGCTAATTAGGACAGTTATTGTTTGCTCAAGCAGCTTTTACAAATATTTTTTTAAATGCCATGTGGAATAAAACAGGTAAGCAATCCAGGAATATTCACAGTTTTGTCATATCAGGTATTTGATTAGAAAATAAAGGAATTAGCATTCTGTGACATAAGTGTATTTTAAATTGTCCAGCAGTCTCTTTATTATTGCCCTTCAAATGCGTTGAGAGGGTCTTCAAAAGTGCTTGCTGTTCTAAGTTCACACTTACTTCCTGAGACTGTCTGAAAGGTGGTCTTTTTGACTGATGTCTTAGATTGACTAACAGGTGAGAAAATATCATCTAGAGAGAGGGAGAAAACAGTTAATTTGTACTTGTACATGACAAGAAAGCTACAGAAAGTTTGGAGACAATTATGAGCTAGATTATATTAGCAGGAGTACAAGGAAGGATGCTGATAAAAAGCCTTTAGGATCCCTAGGTGCATTCTTAGCAAAAGTATCAATATCGTATTGCTCACAACTTTTGGTAGGCCTGAAATAACAAAAACAGGAATTTCTAGTGCTGACTGAATTGAAAACACTTGAGTCCAAAAAGGCTCAAGGGTGCAGGAGCCTCTCAAAACCTCGAATGGAGCCTGCAGAGCCCCTTCAAAATAGTGCCTCCAATTTTAATCTCTAATGTAACAGAAAAGTCAAATTATTAAATACATGAAGAGTAATCATACAATCTATATTAATTTAGATTTAAATCAAATAAGTATTTGTCCTAGTCTATTTTCTTAAGTGTGACTTTTACCATGCCAAGTCACATTTCTTGCCAACTACAGCAAGATAGACTATACAACATATTTCTTGCCATGGTTGGTTTTTGACTTAACTGAAAATGCTTTTAACAACTGCTACATTCTGAATAATTATACTCTCCACTGGATAGAATATGAATTTTCAAAAATGAGAACTTCAAAGATACACAATGTGGGATCTAGTTTGAACCCAATACTATTAATAGAGCAAGCCCCATTAAGTTCCTGGAACTCAAGTGTTTTTCCACCTCTTTCTTGGCATATATCCTACTCTGCCTTCATGGTCTGCCTCTTTTTCTATCAAGGCTCAGTTTTTGTAACAAAATAGGGTCAGTGAGGACCCTTTACTGCTTTCTGAAGAAATATATCAAAATAGACATCCCTCAACCCTTGTCCCATTAGAGTGTAGTTTCGTATTTTTTTTAGTTTATAAAATCACCAGTTTTCTCAATCTGTTTCTATAAAAATTTACTTGTTAATGATTTGCAGATCATTCTACAAATATCAAATTATTTACCTGTGTCCTCATCAAATATGGATTTAGCTTCCATTTTCTTTCTGGTACTCTTTTCCTTTGATTTTACAGCAAGATCGGCAAAGATGTCAACATCATCATCAAACAAGTTGACTTCCAACATTTTTTCTTTGACTGGCAGCTTAACAGTTTCTACTGCAAATATATCATCCTTGAATAAAGAAAAGGCTTTCTGAATATAGGGCTGATCTTTGAAGGTATGCATTTTCTCTGGTTAGTGCTTGTAAAACTAAATACAAATTGCTCTCATTTTCTGCAACTAAGCTTCAGAAACCAGTTCTGCTGAGTGGCTGGTTCTAGAACTGGCTATTTATATGTGGTTGTATATAATTAAATGTTTATATATGAAATGCGGTTGTGCATTTCTGCTCCCTGAAATAAGGGAACAGAGGCTAGAGAATGTACAGGAGACCAGGAACTGTCCTAACTTGAATCTTGGACGGTATTTAGGATATGAGCTGTAAATAAGAATATAATCTATCCGCCCTGCCAGATATAGTTCCATGACATTATCCTTTCATTTATTGGCCTTTAATTCCTCACCCCACAATACATCATTTAAGATGTACTATTTTCTTTGCTGGCTAAAGTATAGTTGGGGGTCAATACATACATCTAAAATGATCTGTTACACAGAGTCTGACAATCTGCTATCAATCTTAACTTCTAAGCTGGCTGCCCCATTCCTAGGTCCTGGTGGTTGAGTGACATTGGGATCAAGTTGCTGCTAGTAAATGTCAGGTCCATTTGTAATTAAGGCAATATTGTTCATGATTTAACTGTGGATGAGCTATTATTACTGAAACCCAGTTAGGCAACGGCAGTGAGATCAGTGGAGAGGGATGGCACTGATCTCATGGTTCACCTTAACTGTGACTGGGGGCTCTGTTTCTGTGGTGACAGATGTGAATTACATATTACATTGGGCCATAGGGACAAGCTGAAGGCCCTCCTGGTATATTGCCTACAATGCTACTCAGCTGGATCCCTCTCTGGCCTCCTTCACCATTATCTGGGCTAGTGTTGGAATCTCCTCATCCTTTGTTATTTGGTGACTTCAGTCTCCATGCCCTGGAATTCATGGCTATCATAGCAACTATGGGTTTGTCTCAGGTAAACTGTGGCTGAAGAAACCTAGGGTTTGGACTTGTTTCTTCTTGCAACAGTTGTACTGTGATCTGAATATGGATGGCATTACAACTAGCCTGTTGCCATGGTCAGATCACTTCCTGGTCCAAGAGGGATTGACTGTCACCCAGGACCTCTGCAGGTCTGAAGGAACCAAAGGGCTTCACCAAGGTTCCTAATTAATTTGGAGGGTTTCCAGAGAAAATTTGAGGAATTTCCCAGTGATTTGGCAGGTAGTGCTATCAATAGCCTAGTTGGCCTCTGGTTTTTCTCTGTGTCAATCCTGGGGGAGGTGTTTGTTGGTTTTCTGAAGAGCTTTGGAGATCAGTCGGCAAAAATGATACTTGCTTGGTGGTGGAAGACTAGGAATAAATCAGAGTGAAAGCTCTGGTACAACCCTACACTGTAGTAATGAGGCAAAGTGTCATTACTTCTCCTTTACTGGATTGGTGGTGGGACTGTTTAGGGTGGCAAACTCCTTTTAGGGAGGGTAGAATAAGCAGAGCTCCCACTTGATCATTTTGAGTGTTTGCCTACCACTTTACTGATAAAGTTGCTCAGATCCTCCTAAGTCTTGATTTCTCATGGATGAAGACCAGGTGTGACTGGGACAGCATCTTGCTCTGTTACCTGGGAATCTTTTTGGCTTGCGGATTCTGAGGAAGTGGATAGGGTATCTAACAGGATCCCTGCCACTTGTAGACTTGACCCATGCCCTTCCTGGATCCTTCAGGGAGCAGTGGAGATGTGACAAACTGGATCCAGGAAACTCTCAATGCCTTGCTTTAGGAAAGGTGTTAAGTCTGCAGCCTTAAGGCAGACTGTAGGATACCCCCTCAAGATGTCCTCTCTGGATCCAGCTTTGATTGATAATCTCCAATCTTTCCTTTTTAGGAAAGGCTGTTGAATATGTGGGATTCACCTGTAAAGTGCCTTAGAAGAAGCAGATTATCTGGATCCCGTTCAGTACAGTTTCAGGCCTGGGCATGAGACTGAAAAGGATTGGTGACTCTAGTTGGTAAACTTGGATGGGACCAGGATGGGAGTAGCACACCCCTCCTGGTCCTTTTGAATCCCTCACTAACTTTTGGTACCATCAACCTGATATTCTTCTGGACCGCCTGCAGGGTTGAAGGTTTTTAAAAATGATTTCACTCAACTGGAACCTTTCTCGGTGGTTCCAGTTGGGGAGAAGAGAATGATTGGCCCAATGGCTACTTTTGTGTTGTGCACAGTGATCAATCTTCTCCACCCCACCCCCCACCTGTTTTTTAACATTTAATGAAGCTGCTGGGAGAGGTCATCCAGAGGTTCAGGGTGATATTCAGTTATAACTCACTACCCCAGAGCCAGCTGGAGATGTAGTGAAAGTCTTGTCTGGGGGCTTGGAGGCTATAGAGTCTGAGTGAAAACAAATTATAACAGAGTTGCTATTTATCCACTGAAGATGACAAATCTGGCAGTGTCTCCCAAGAGGGTAGCCCAGTTCCTGAGGAAGTAAGTCTATGATTTGGGGATCCTCCAGGACTCACACTCTGCTGGAAGGGCAAATAGAGACAGGAAGTCCTTTGCCCAGTTCCTCTTTGCACTGGTTGCCAAGAGGTTTCAATTTAAATTAGTGGTTTTAACCTATGAAGCCATTTAAGGCTTGGCACCTGGCTACCTTTGGGATTACCTCCTCCAATTGGATTCAAGCATCTCTTTAGGAGAAACAATTAGTATGTAGTTTTCCACTTCTAGAAAGTGATGAGACTCAAGGCCTGGAGGTATTATTTTTGTGGTGGCCTCTGTCTTGAAGGTGAGATTGGCCTCCTCTTGAAGGTGAGAATGGCCTCCTCTTGAAGGTGAGATTGGCTCTATCATTAATAACTTTCTGAAAGTAGTTAGCACCAAATTATTCTGGAAGATTAGGGGGTAAACTGTGACACTGGGATTGTGGTAAGTAGACTTGATTTTAACCTTAATTCACCATGAATGTTTTATTATTGGATTTTATAGTTATTGTGAATTGCTAAAAGTTGTGAGTTGGGCAGTATATAAATAGTAGAGAATATACAGTATATACCTCATGATTGAACTATTGGGATCTTCGTTCTTTGAGCTTGTTTTCCTGCAGATGTTTCATTACCATTCTAGGTGACATCATCAGTGCATGACTATCAGCTGATGTTTGTGGGTGTGTTCTGCCAATCTTTTACCTATCTGTCTTACAACACTGTGTGTTGTAGATTACTCCTTTTTTTCCTCTTTGGGTTTGCTTAAGAAGTTTTGGAGGAATTTCATTGGTTTCTGTGCTACAGTGATGCCAGAGGTTGTAGTGGTCTTGTTTTTTTCCAGAGATGTAACTAGATGTAACAAAATCCCTCCAAAACATCTTAACGAAGCCCAAAGATCTAGTAACCAAAGAAGAAATGAACACAATTATCATGAACAGAACCACAATTATGGACAGGGCACAGCACATTCAGAAAACTAAAGAACTACTGAACTAGCATCAGAAGACATGATGAAAATTCTTTCATCTCTCAACACACAAATTCAACCACAGTTTCAACTAGGAAACTGTTGACATTTCAGACCAAGCCAAATAAAAAAAATGCTAGGGAATTCCAGTAGCTTGGCATTCTGACAAATCTGTTTGGCATTGACAGACACATAGAGATACACCTTATTTATATGCAATTTAAAAGATACAACCAAAAATCAAGGAAGGAAGAAACAGCCCAAAGTACATCCCCCTTAGCTGTCAGGTTCGGTCAGCACGGGGCTTCAGGGAAGCACGGGGCTTCAGGGAAGCTCGCA